CCGACCAGAGACTACTGTGCGCCGACGCCGTGGTCCGCGCCGGAAGGATCACAAATGCTAAATTTAATATTAAATTAAAAAAAGGGGAAAGAGTGGAGCATGAGAGTGTATCATGGTCGCATATGAGCTCATTGTTTTTTTTTTTTTGATAAAAAATAATGTTAACGGAAGCTAGAAGTTTGCTTTCGTGCTTTTAAGCTTCTGATTTTGTCCTTGCTTTCCCCATGAAAAGCTCGCGTTCGCAATAGTGCTGATCAGTTATGGCCAAAAAAAAAAGATCAGTTATGGCTAAATTTTAGTCTTTCATTTCACTTTAAAATGCTATCTGTCTTTCTTCTCATCATTTAAATTAATTTTTAAATATTTTAAATATTATACTCCCTCCATTTAAAATGTAAAGTATTTTTTAAAAAATTAAATATTTAAAAATATAAGACATTTTTAATCTTTTAAAGTATAGTCATTACCTTTTTTTTCAAAAGTGTTCTTATTAATAATGACTTTATATTTATTGTAAGGTGTTTAATAGGGATAAATATAAAAAAATAGAGTTAGTTTGAAAATAGGTAACTACTTTATTTGAAGATAAGATTTAATTAAAAATATTTTATATTTTTAAATAAAAAGAGTATCTATTAATATAAAAATTATAAAAACTTGTAATATTAAATATCAACTGTCTTAATTATATCTAGGCAATCAATTAGAAAAAATTATGAGAATTTTAATATTAAATTGAACATTCCATGTTATATTTGAATTGTCCATAATACATATCGGTAGTCAAATTTTAAAAATTATCAAACACGTAATATCAAATTGGATTGTCTAGATTAATTTTATATTAGTCAGATTTATAATAAACAGATTTATTAAAAAATTTATATTTTTTATAAATTTTTATTTTGATAGATGTTATTGAAAATAAAAATTTTAAATTTGGACACTTCAAATCTAATCAAAGGCAGTGAATGCACAATGCTTGTTTTTTATGAGTACAAAAGACAATCAAGATTCAATATCAAAATTTTTGATAATTTTATATTAATAAATATAATATTAAAAATGTTTAAAAATTAATTTAAATTAATGGTAGAGATCATTCAAAAATGAAATGAAAGATCAGGATTTAGCCACACTTGATGAGCACCTTGTATTTAGATTAATGAGAATTTAAATTTGAACTAAATCTCTCACTTAAATACAAGAAAAATTATTAATTTGGGTTTGATTCAAATCTAATTCCATTTCAAATAATAATTCATTTGTAATTTCAAATTACGTCTACAGCCTAATCATTTAAAATTTAAATCACTCCAATCATATCATTCTCTTCATGTTTTAATTATTGATACCTCAATGATTCTCATGTCTTTTCTCATCTCTTATCAATTAGAAAATAAAACTAAACACATCGTTTCTATTTTTATATTTTTGTTTTGAATTTCAATTTATTTATCTTCTTCATTTAAAATTTTTTAAATCATTCAAATAAAAAATTTTGAATATATGGATTTTAAATTCAAAATGCAAATTCAAATCCATGAACCAAACACTACCTAAAATTTTTTGTGCATTTATATGAACTCAAATTCAAAATCTTTACTCAAGGAACTATAATCCTGTCTGCAGGGATTAATATGGGATGTTAAAGTGTTACTAATTTAGACTAACATAGTAAAGTATTACTAATTTAGAATATATAAAAAAAATTGGTCAAAAAATATGCATATGGATTGGATTATTGCACATCTTAACAAGAAATTGTTGTAGCGTGACTGTCTAGCCTTTTCCGGGGTACGTAATAGAAAAAATTGATGACAGTAATTTGTAAAGGATTAAAGTACGAATCTATCTTAAACATTTTTAAAAATGTATAATTAGCATCTTAAAGTTTACAAGGTATAATGCCATCTCAATGTTTTAAGAATCGGCACAATATCGTTCCAAGGAAACAAAAGACCCAAAAAATGCTAATCTAATCAGGTGGACCCCATGTAATGATCCCTTCACTATCCACGCTCATACCCATCCAATAACGCCAATTAACTCCGTTAAGGGACTAAGCAAGGGATAGAAGGATAAACCTTAGCTAAAAAAAGATCTCAAGGTTAAATTTTAGTTCACTCCAAACAATGAGATCCCACGAATAATTTTAAATTTGAGAACTGTAAGTTGAGGCCCTTGACAAACTTAAAATCCGAGCAAGGAAGATTGCAGAAACATAGAAAAGTAGTTTGAGCATTGAAACCAGGTCAAACTTTAAATCCACGTAATCATCGTGGGATTGGATGCTTTATTCCGCCGTATTCTCTAGAAGATTCTTTTTCAGCAAATTTGGATCAGTTCCACTTCGGGAAAATTGATTAATTTTTCTCCCCCTAGCTGCCATGCTCAAATATAGCATGAGCTCTTCCCCTGAGAAAGAGTCCTGAATTTGAATTCAACATCTACGTATGTTATGTGTGTGAGTGATACGTTCGTCTCTTTCCTGTAAAAAAATATTGCGTTATAAGTAAAATTTCTTAAATGTTGCAAAGCTCCTCATTATTTTCTACCTGTCACGAATTATAAATAATTGATTATATTCACGTCACCCAGGAACTGTTGGATATTCATACATGTTACTTGGATTTTTTTTTTGTGCCAAATACTTGGATTCATATTAAACCAAATAAAATATTTCCAAAATCAGCTTTCACATGTGGATAGCTTTTTTCAAAAAATCTCGACTCATTTGGTCAAAGGCAGACATGCAAGCGAAAATTGAACAACCTATACTCTGTGAAGGTAGATATTAAAAAAATATAAAATATTTTTAATTTTTAAGGTATAATAATTATTTTTTTTAATGTTTCGATTGATAATAATTTTATATTTATTATAAAGTGTTTAATAGTAGTAAATGTGAAAAGATGAGATTAATTTAAAAGTAGATAATAATTTTATTAAAAAATGAAATTCAATTAAAAATATTTTACATTTTAACAGAAGAAGTGCTGATTTTACTATTCACGTTCATCATCTTCTTCTTCTTGTTTTTTGGGCCTGCGTCTTATTGAAATTTACCGTCCTGTCATGTAAAAAACCTGAACCCCTTTATTATGCTCCAGTTGAGTACTTTGAAAGGAGGACTGAAATAGCTGCGAGTATACAGAAATCACGTCTCTCTTCGTCCACTCACTTCATAGTTGTTATCTGAAAATTATAATCTGAACAAGCATTCAACGCTAAGTGAGAATGGGCAAAATTTTAAGTGACCCTTGACTTTGAACTCTGTTGCCAGACGTGAAGAGGGAGGTTCAAGTATTAATGGTACATGTACATGGGAACTGGTGAGTTACTGCTTGCTACTCGTGAAGTTCACTGCTATGACCTTATAAGAAGATTACCCGCGGCTGGCTAGTTTAACCTCTTTCTAGGGAACTGCTTTTATTCATTCCATCACAGTGCCATGAAATTTGAAGGGTGTGTTTAAATTTCAATTAAAAAAAATTAATTATTAAAACGTGATAATATTTGAATAAATTTTTAAAAATTGATTTTGATAAATTGAATATGTTTGAATGATTTGTTGAGAATCAATTTTAAATGTGTAAATAAATGATATAAAGAAAAGGAGCCAAATGGAGTTTTGCAAGTGAAAGAAATTTTAGTTTTTCTAAAATGAAATTTTCCAAACCAAATAGAGTTTTGTAAAATGAGAGTGTTTGGATAAACTTTTACAAAATTATGATTTTGATATCAGAATTAATTCTCAATGGATATCCAAACAGGTCCAAAAGTATTACTACCTCGTTCAAATTAATCTAAACATTCAACGTGGATGATTGTTATTATCATCAGAAAGGTACCTTAAGGATACCTTTAGGCTTTGGCATCGATTCTTTTATTTACTGTGAAGTTTAATTGCTTATTTTTAAAAATAATTAGGATAAATTGACTCACTAGTCAGAAAAAATTTTATATCCCAAAAATATGAATTAAATTTTAAAAATTTAAAAATATAATCGATTCATGTCGATGCATAAGGGGTTTATTATTGACAAGCAAAGAATTTATCATCAAAATTTTAAAATTTATGAAGAGTTTATCATTGATATACAACGGCATATCATTGACAAGTACAATAAATCAATTATAATACAAAATATAATAAATGTTAGATTATTTATTTAATTTGATTTTATAAAATAAACTATGGTTATAAAAGTTTTAAATAATTGTGTTAATTCCCATGGCAAAGGCATGAACGTCACTAGTCTAGGTTTTTTTTAATTGAAAAGGTGGGAAAAATATATCATCACTAGATTGGGGGAAAAGAGAGTTTTAGACATTAGTGAAAGAGTAAAAGGCATAGGTATCCATAAAAATAAATCAAGATGATAAATCATCTAACCTCCTCATAGTTTTGTCTGACAACTGAATTCTGCAATTGATCATCTTGAAAAGCAACATTTTTATCAAAAATAATAAAAAGAAAGGGTGAAAATTTAAAGATCCAGCTTAAATCGGTTAACCAAAGAAAAATGTTAGACGAGGAGGCAGAGGCACCAAAAGATCAAATTCACAAACTCTTACAAAGTGGCCACCGGGAATTAATGACCATGGATTCATGGTTTTGCTAATATAATTACAAAAATAATTTTAATTTAATTCACAGAAAAAGAATAATTCCTCATGTTAAATTTAACTGTACCAATATATTTTGGGCTATTTGGGCAGTACAGAGTTTTGATGAGTTGACCGCGAGAACTGAGAAAGTCGACAGCGGAGCCTGAGCCTCAGCACTATGTACCCGACATGTCGTTTCAAACCAAGAGCAGGGACAACCACGTAAATGTATTCCCACCATTGAGTATTACTACTATTATTTTATAATTTTATGATTTAAGATTATAACAAATACCGTAAACAAATAATACACAAAGCTCACTGGTTACTTTTCGATATATGTGCCTCCCCCTAACCACTCTCCCTTCCTTACCCTGGCCTCACTCGTCCCTACTTTTTTTGCTCTCCCCCAGACATCACTGTCTCAGTAATGCTCTTTCGCTCTGATTCCCGGAAATTTGTCTTTCATTTTCCCTCATGAGTAGGGTTTCACTCTCTTCTTTGTCTCTTTACAAAGTGCCCCTGATGCCTCTCTCCCTTGGTCCGAGAGAGAGAGAGTCCTAAGTGCACCGAATCGCCCCTATTCTTTCCTTCTTCTTGAAGCTCAGCTGCCAAGTGTTCCGTGATTTTGCGTTTATTCTCACTTGGTTCCCCTTTTTTCCTCCTCCTTTTCCTATTTTCACCGGAATCTTGTTGAAAAGGGAAAGCTCTTGGGTTCAGCGTCCCAACCAAAGTAGCTTACTTGCTTCCATGTCGTTTCTTCATCGAGCTTTGCAAACATTGTGAGGTTCGTCCTTAGTTGGCGAGTTTATTTCCTCTCATTTCTTGAGACTTTATCTGCTATTGAGGGAAACAAACTGCCGCAGTTGGTTTGTTGGAATGCTGTGAGTAAAGTAGCTGGCGTTTAGCTTGTGAAACGATAACTTCATGCTCGATTTTGAAGCTATTTGATATATTCTTACATAAAGCGAGTGAGCTTCTGTACAGATTTGTACAAAACGTCTTCAACTAATAACGGCGGTTACATGTATTAAAATTACTGACTTTCTGTAGGGTTAATACAGCTAATTCTGCTACTACCATTTACCAGCCAAGAATCCTCTGGAGTTCCTATCGAGCACCCTTCATTCTTCCTGCTTTCTATGCTCTCTACTCTTCTCGCTCTTTAGAGCAAGTAGCTATACAATTTCCCCCTCATCTTTGATTCAGATATTGTTGTTTTGGGAGGATGGCAATGGCTGTTGCTCACCACAGAGAAAGCAGCAGCGGGAGCATCAGCAAGCACCTTGATTCCGGCAAGTATGTCCGGTACACGGCGGAGCAGGTCGAAGCGCTCGAACGCGTTTACGCCGAGTGCCCGAAGCCCAGTTCCTTGCGAAGGCAGCAACTGATCCGAGAGTGCCCCATTCTTGCCAACATCGAACCCAAGCAGATCAAAGTTTGGTTCCAAAATCGCAGGTAAGGGAATGCTCTAAAGAAGCATTTGGATTTCAATAACTAAAATTACGCTGCAATTTCTTCTCGAAGCGCATTGATAAGATGGTTTGGCATTTGGCAACGCAGGTGTCGAGAGAAGCAGAGAAAGGAGTCAGGGCGGCTTCAGACTGTTAACAGAAAACTGTCTGCGATGAACAAGTTGTTGATGGAGGAAAATGAGCGCTTGCAAAAGCAGGTTTCCCAACTAGTATGCGAAAATGGGTTTATGAGGCAGCAATTACATAGTGTAAGCATTTGAATAAACTGACATGAAGAAAAAAAAATCTGGGTAGATTGATGTCCTTATTAATTATTTATTGGGTGTCTAATGGCAGATGAAGCTTTTTTGTTAGCTTTTGAGGTTGTCGAATTTGATTTGGTCGATGAAATTTTTGTTCACGTTATTGTTTTCCTGCAGGCGTCGGCAGCAACTACTGATGCAAGTTGCGATTCGGTTGTCACCACACCTCAGCACTCCTTAAGAGATGCCAATAACCCTGCTGGGTAATTTCAAAGTTCATGTTGTTTAGTTTTCCTTTGCTCTTCTAAAGATGTCTCTGATTTTTTTGAACTTTGCAGACTCCTATCAATTGCTGAGGAGACCTTGGCAGAGTTCCTTTCAAAGGCTACCGGAACTGCTGTCGATTGGGTCCAGATGCCTGGGATGAAGGTTTCTTATTTCTCCTTGCTACAGAGTTATCAGTAGAAAAATTACTGAACAGGAGTTTTCTACGATTTAGTTATTGCTTTCTCTCGTCCTCAGATTTGTCTCCTTGATTGTTTAATTGTCAGCCTGGTCCGGATTCGGTTGGGATCTTTGCCATTTCGCGAAGCTGCAGTGGAGTGGCAGCTCGAGCATGCGGTCTTGTTAGTTTAGAACCTACGAAGGTATGTTCACTCATTTAAAGCAGTAGGTAAAATTTGGTTTCCTCGTCAGTATTAAAGGTCTGCATTCTTCTTGAATTTTATTTCACCATATCTCAATTAATGGTAGATTGCTGAGATCCTAAAAGATCGTCCATCTTGGTTCCGGGACTGCCGGAGTCTAGAAGTTTTTACAATGTTCCCTGCCGGCAATGGTGGGACAATTGAACTTGTGTACACACAGGTCAGCATTGAATTGCGAATTGAGAATTGAGAAATTTAAAAATATCTGCATCTGCCTCATTTATCTCCAATTTCAAAATTAAATTTGTTTCAGACATATGCTCCAACTACATTGGCTCCTGCCCGGGATTTCTGGACTTTAAGATACGCTACAAGTTTGGACAATGGAAGTCTTGTGGTGGGCATTTTTTCCCCTGCCTTTCAACGTTTACATAAAGATGACCATAGTTATTAATATATGATATAATACTGTATCTTTTTAATTAGCAATTCTCCTATTTAGAGATAATTTACCTGATTTTCACTTCTATGTTTCTTGAATCCATGTCTGAAGGTTTGTGAGAGATCGCTGTCAGGTTCAGGTGCTGGCCCTAATGCAGCGGCTGCTGCTCAGTTTGTGAGAGCTGAAATGCTCCCAAGCGGCTACCTGATTCGACCATGTGAAGGTGGAGGATCAATCATCCATATTGTAGACCATTTAAATCTCGAGGTTTGACTTATTGACAATTTAATTATATCATTTTTCTCAAGATAATGTTTCTAAAAGCATTTTTTTTTTTTAGGCATGGAGTGTGCCGGAGGTTCTTAGGCCACTTTATGAATCATCAAAAGTGGTTGCTCAGAAAATGACAATTGCAGTGAGTAGCCCCTTTTAATTTATAGATACTGACAATTTTATCAGTGTTCAAATTTTGACTTGTTATTGTGAAGATCTGATATTTTCATATTAGTATGTGGAGCATGGATATTAAACCCTGCAGAGTATGGTACATCTTATAGGGATTGTTTCTTCGAATTTTTTTAATCAGAGATGTTGTTCTCTCTCTCTCTCTCTTTTGGCATGTGATGTTCAGCTAGTACTTTAAGCTTATTGGTTTCCTAAACCCACTTTTTGTCATTCTGGGTCCTGTTTTCCAATGCCATACTTGCCCAAAATGAAAATTCTTGTAATTCGTTGTTGTGATAGGCGCTACGCTATATTAGGCAAATAGCTCAGGAGACAAGTGGTGAAGTGGTTTATGGTTTAGGTAGGCAGCCTGCGGTTCTGCGAACTTTCAGCCAAAGGCTGAGCAGGTGGGCATACAAAATTTTACTTCCATCAAATTATGTTGACTATCCAGCTATGAACATGAACTGATCCATTATGCTTGCAGAGGCTTCAATGATGCTGTCAATGGATTTAATGATGGGGGCTGGTCCATAATGAACTGTGATGCTGCTGAGGATGTGATTATTGCAGTGAACTCAGCCAAGAATCTGAATGCCACTTCTAATCCTGCAAGTTCTCTAACATTCCTTGGAGGAGTTCTCTGTGCAAAAGCTTCCATGCTGCTGCAGGTGAGTCTGAAAAGATGATGGCATGGGTTTTACCTTTTTTTTCGGCCAAGGCATCTACTATAGAAGTTTGTTTTCTTTTTGGACTCAATTCTTAATAAAATTAAAGATTTGAAGGATGTTTTTATGAAGGCATTTGTAGCATATTGTCATGGGCCCATTGCCCTCCCCCCAAAAAGCTAGTTCATTGGGGCGTGTAGCGTACCTGTTTATATGTTTAGGACCCTCTTGAAATCCTTCCGATATAGGACGTAACAGCTCTCCCGACCAATCTGTAATGCCCACGTCATAGGTGGGCCCTTGGCCCACCCTGACTGTGCAAAATGTGGGTCTGGTTATGATATTATTTTGTCATAGGGCCATTATTCCTCCCCCCCCCCCCCAAAAGAAAGCTAGTTCAATGGGGTGTATAATGCATTATATGACCAAATCCTCTTAAAGTCCTTTCAATGTGAAATGTAACTATGTTTCATATAAAACTGGTCTCCCCTGGTCAAATGAATTTTGTAGATTATTCATAAATACTGGGTTGGAGTGTTCAAAAATCTTTTTGCTATATGGTTTTTCCAGAATGTCCCTCCGGCAGTTTTGGTTCGGTTTTTGAGGGAGCATCGCTCTGAGTGGGCTGATTTCAATGTTGATGCGTACTCTGCTGCATCACTTAAAGCAGGCTCCTTTGCCTATCCTGGCATGAGGTCAACTAGATTCACTGGAAGTCAGATTATCATGCCTCTCGGACAAACGATTGAACATGAAGAGGTACTTTAGCGTTCCCTTCCCAGTTACAAATGCATGGTGGAAATGTCTTGACTCTTGTGATGGATTTGTGGGTGTAGCTTGGGTCTGTGTCTTTAAGAGTTTTGTCTGATCATGTCAAGCGGAAGTGGCACTCACGATGCACTGCAGTCTGCAATTGTCTCTTTCCTTTTTCTCTAAGTCATATAACAACAGTTTTTGTATTGAAATAATATCTTCTATTTATTGTGTTTGCATTCCAGATGCTTGAAGTTGTTCGTCTTGAAGGCCACTCTATAGCACAGGAAGATGTTTTTGCTTCTAGGGACATTCATCTCTTACAGGTGCTTTCTTTGACTATTGATGAAATATTGGAAATTTCCTGTTCCTTACGCATGAGTGAAGTCAGATAAATTGCAATGTCATTTCTGGAACTAGTCTCTAGTTTCTCGAACAATGCATTTATATCTGTTCACTGGCTGGGCTGAAGCTGGCTTCTATGTGTAAAGTTGTGATGGAAGCCATCTCTGGAATTTGACGTATTGTGACTGTGTATTATGATTGAGATCATCTGCTGCAATGTGCCATGCGTCTGGGAGAGTGATAGAGTGGGAAGTGTAAGAACCCACATCTCTTGCTATCCCTTCTCTCTCCCAATACGCACTATACATTTACTTGCATATTGTAGATGATTGAAATCCGTAATTGCTATTTGTGAAAGTTCCATTTGAAATTCTGTTTAGCCTTTTATGGACTTGTATTTCTCTGTAGGCTTTTGGTATGCTTCTGCATTTTAAGGATGACGCCTGTGACCAATATAGATCACTTCCATGCAGTCTCATAATATACCCAGGAACTGAGTTGTGTGATATTATGGTTTCTATTTTTGCAGATGTGTAGTGGGATTGATGAAAGTGCTGTTGGGGCATGTTCTGAGCTCGTGTTTGCTTCAATTGATGAAATGTTTCCTGATGATGCTCCATTGTTGCCATCGGGTTTCCGCATCATCCCATTGGATTCAAAATCAGTTGGGTTCTGTTTTACGTTGTACACTTGTATTTCATCTAATTAATGAATGCTCTCGAGATAGTGATGCTATTTTTCTCTTCATTTTGTTCGAGTTAATATGGTTTGTGTTAGGCATCTGCGGTTGCCCATAGATTAAATTACATGTTCTTGTGGACATGGTACTAGAGTGTTGATTAGAATTGCAACTTTCTTGATATTTGGATCCATGTGACAGTGTTCTTATGTTCCAGGGGGATAAGAAGGATGCAGTATCTGTAAATCGGACCCTAGACTTGGCATCTGGTCTTGATGTGGGCCCAGCATCGAATCATGCTGCTGAAGATGCATCATCATGTCATAATACTCGGTCAGTGTTGACTATTGCTTTCCAGTTTCCTTTTGAGAGCAGCTTGCAGGAAAATGTTGCAATCATGGCACGGCAGTATGTACGCAGTGTGATTTCATCTGTGCAGAGGGTTGCCATGGCTATATCTCCATCTGGTATGAGCCCGCCTGTGGGACCAAAACTCAATCCTGGCTCCCCTGAGGCGATTACTCTAGCTAACTGGATATGCCAGAGTTATAGGCAAGTCTTCATACTATCAAATAATTATAATTACGCAAGGAAAAAAAAAAAAAAGAATGCTTACCATCTTGTCTTTGGCAGCTTGAGATTGAGTCCCGTTATCATGGTGTGTGGCGTAATTCTCAAAATCGCGCTCCTTTCCTGATCTTTATTGTCATTTCTTTCCTCTTAATTACAGTTTCTATCTGGGAGCAGAATTAGTTAGATCTGATTCTCTTGTCGGTGATTTATTGCTGAAACATTTGTGGCATCATCAGGATGCCATTTTGTGTTGTTCAGTGAGGGTAAGTTTTTTATTTCGCTGTTTATCCTTTTTTATGTTTGTGATGAAATTCTGCATTGGAATTATCTAGTGTATGGTTTCTGCACGTCGAAACTAGTTGCTCAGAAGTCCGTGTCTTAATTTGGCATCGCAGTCCTTGCCTGTGTTCATCTTTGCAAATCAGGCAGGGCTTGACATGCTGGAGACAACTCTAGTAGCTTTGCAAGATATCACATTGGATAAAATATTTGACGACTCTGGACGCAGGGCATTGTGTACAGAATTTGCCAAGTTGATGCAGGAGGTGATTTCAGGACCGAATACATTCCCGTTGAATTGAAATCCATATTTGTATGGAGAGATTCCATGATTGTTCTCCATGGCATTTTGCCTTGTAGTCTGATCTCTATTTTAATCTGCTTATGCTTGGAACAGGGGTTCGCTCATCTGCCTGCCGGAATTTGCATGTCCATGATGGGACGGCATGTTTCGTACGAGCAAGCCCTCGCATGGAAGGTTTTTGCGGAAGATAGCAGTGTTCATTGCCTAGCTTTCTCTTTCATCAATTGGTCATTTGTATGAATCTGCAGTGTCTCTTTTTATATTCATCTGTAATTTTTGTTGTCTTTTTTAATTACATGAAATTTTTTCAAACCGTTTCCCTTGCAAGAAGGATTGTTGTAGTTATGTGTATACATAAAATCTTATTTCTCCACCCATTCAGCCTATCATTGTCTAATGCAGCATGAGATGAAGTAGTTTTCATCGTTAGGTGTAAATAATGGCAAGATTTTAGATGGCCCCGAACTTTGTTGCCAAACATCGCGGAATATCCCTAAATTTTCACACCACGATAGAAAATTGACATTCTTTAATTTTTAAAATAATTTCAATATTACTGTGCAGGAAGGATTTAAATGTAATTAAAATTTGTTGTGAAAAAGAAAAATTATTTCTCATACATACTCTTTTAAGAGGAAAAATCTAATTTTTATTTTTATTTTAACAACTAAATTTTTTTGTAACAATTTGAGAAGGTTAATTTGATGATGGCAAAGAATATGCATCGCAATTTAGTGAACAGGTTTCTATTAAAAAAAGTAAATTTTATTTTTATTTTAACGTCAATTAATTTTTGTATTGGTAACTTTAAAATATTAATTTGATGGCAGAGAAGAGATGTTGCAATATGATTAACAAGTCTCACTTAAAAAAATAAATTTCATTTATATTTTAACAATAAGTAATTTTTTTATTAAACAAATACGTGCATATAAGGTAGTTATGTCTTTTTATAATAAATTTTCATTACATTTAAGTCTTTTAATTTTATAGAGCAAAGTGTCTACAAAGTGGCAAGCATTTAATTGTCTTTAGTTGTGATTTTTCCCAATTTTAAATAGAAAACTTGGAATTATTAATATAGCTTTTTTTATAACAATTTACTTTGATCACGTACTCCCCTCTGATATTGCATGGTAACAATTGACAAATGTAAGCGATCGTTTTTGTAAGTATATGAAATCACAATAATAAATTATTTATAGTATTTTAGGTATTAAATTCATAGAGTGGTTGTGCTTTTATTAATTTAATTAATAGTTAAAAAAACAATAGATAAAATGGTTTATTTGATAAAATTATAAATAATAAAAATAAATCAAGATATTAACAATGATGAAAATGATCACTTGAAGTGTTGGAATTTAAAATTCACCTTATAAGTTATTAGTTTCTACCATTTGAGTTGACTCTTTAATCAATTATGATGACAGTTATTTTTAAAGTGTCATAATATTCTCCCAAATTATTAGTCCCTTTTTAATTAGCGTTGAATTCGTTCCCATAATACCCGAACAATTAATTAAATTGTGAAGTTATAGTTAAGTCGTCATAAATTTTTAGAATTATTCCTAACCTAGTTATTTATGTTTATTTCTTTAGATTTAAGTTCTCTCTTTATCTCTTATTGGGTTATCCACCCTTGGTGGATCAGGCCCATATAAAAGCCCAAATTAGAGAATGGGGCTCTTATGACAATTATAAGAAATGTTTGGGTTCAATATGTAATTTACTCAGGGCCTTAAAATATAATATTCTCCAATCTTTGAATTTGAGTCATAAACGGTTAAGGAGAAATTACCGCATGTTCTTATAAGAGGTGGTTATGGATGCAGTTCTTAGTCAGTTTTTTCTCTGCGTGAATGAAAGAACTGAATGCTCTCATTTTCCTTGCGACTCATTTTCTCCTTACAACTTATTTCTCTCAAAGAGTGCATTTGTTGTGTATCCGAACGAAGTTTGATCGGTGTAACTTTATTCTTGCATACGTACGTGTGAATTAACGACTTAAGGTATGTTTTCCTTCTCAAATTCTTTCATTGGTATCAAAGCTTTCGTCTTTCCTGGGTTGTGTTTCCTTTGTCTGAAGAACTTGATTTGCTTAATTATATACATGCAAATATATAAGTTCAGTTTTTTATTTTCTTACTGTGTTTACGCATCGACCTGCCTCTGTCTGTCTTTAAGATTATTACTACCAAAATGAACGTGTTAACATGCTTCTTGGTTAATATAAGTGTTTCATATATGGCTATATATGTTTTGCATGCAATCAATAGTGACGAACATAACGACCGAAAACAAACCAAATAATGAGTGTTTGAAAAATGAGTTTTTTGAACAAAAGGATTACATAAATGTGTAAATCTTGAAAAAATAAAGAAAACGACACCAAGAACACATAAAATGGAGATCGGATGGAGGAGATATGGCCTCCGGAAGTTTCAGATCCAACAGACCCGAACTGCTAGAGGAACCGGGTAAGAAGACGACCATAGAAACGTGTCGTTTCTATCTTCATCAAAACAACACGTCGTTTTAACGTGTCGTCCAAAAAAAATAGAAAAATGATTTTTGGGCTACGAGCCCAGAAGCCCCAAACAAAAAAAAAGGAAAGAAAGAAAGGTCTTAGGCTTGGAAGCCCAACCAAAAAAACAAAAATAAAAAAAGGGTTTATGGGTCTGCGAGTCGGGTACATAAACCCGACCCAGATTAAAAGTAAATAAATAAAAATTTATATTTTATTATTTTATAAAGAAGGATGCGTGGCCCGTGGGACCCACCAGATGACTTTATTGGCGCGTGGTTGACCACACCATGAAGCTGGCAGAGCGTGGAGGATAATGGTCCAACGCGTGTCATCACCGGAGCAAGATAAGGGGGCGCGTGTTATGCACGTGCCTCCCTGAAAGTGGAAATTTTTTTTAAGAATTTTTTGATCCAGCATCTTCTTGGGGCACGTGCGGGACCAGATTGGGACAGAGTGTGTCTTAAAAAATCTCTAAATTTAAGATCTTCATTTTGATATATAATTTGCATATCTTTTGAGATAAGATAAGAATTTATTCTTTTGAGTTATTTAATGCTTTTTATGAGTTGAAAAAAAATTCTAATTTTTTTTCTTTCTTATTTTTTTAGGAAAATGTAAAGCAAGAGACTTCTAGCAGTACTGATAACTCAGAAAATTATTCTGTCAGCATTGAGTATCTAGATGAACCAGATTATGAGCCTCTTAGTGAGGATTCTGACCCGAAACCCTTCGAAGAGGAGGAGGAGGAATATGAGCCTCAAAGTGAGGATTTTGATTCTGATATTAAAGAAGATTTCAATGTTGATCTTGAAAATGTGCTGGAAGGACCTAAAGAGGTGCACATGCTATCGGGACCAAAACATGAATTAGAAGGTGATAAGAACGTTCAAAATGAAAATGAAAATGTCGAACAACCTTTCACACCCTCAGTAATCATAAATATAACAAAAAGAGAAGCTAAAAGAATAAAAAAGTTGGATCAAATTTCTCCGATAGTTAGAGCATATGCAAACTTCATAACAAAAGAAAAACAAGCTGTGGTTTTAGAAGAAATTTTCAAACAACTTAAGAAGGAGCTTGTGCAACATACAAGCAAAACAAGTCATACTCTAAAAATCCTCTATGGAATGGAGCCATTAAGGGGATGAAAGTACAAGGAAAAGATAAAGATATAATCAAGAGTTGTCTTTTTAGGTTTGTACCTCAAGCATTGTTGTATTTTTTCAAGAATTTTTTTATGCTATATTAAAACCTTGATGATTTATGAAATATATGAAGTATGTTTTTTTATATTTAATTACTTTACATATACTTTATTTGAGTGGGAGCTCTAAAGTGATAAATTATTTATGAGCCATATATAATGATTATGAAAATATTTGTAAAATTCTTTGCAGATAATAGTGATTTTGTTAGAATCAATGTGATAGGAGATACAAATGTAGCCTCCTGATCGTTGACCTAATAGAGTTGTTATCACTCTAATAAAGAATAATATAAATATAATACATTGTATGTTTCTTATAAGTATTTGATTCTTGGTTTAATATAGAAAACTATTAATGTGGGATAGTTTTGTCTCAAAACTAAGAATGGCACTAAAAAGCATTATCGCTGAATTGAATAAGGGCGACAAATTAAACAGGAATAACTGGGATATCTGGCATCGTAAGGTGTCATATATTTTGGAAGAACAAGATACTGTTGAGCGACTGACTATAATCATGGCCGAGCCTGAGATAGGAAACTCGGCTCAGCATAGGAGAGACTAAGAGGCATCTGAGGCATAGAAATGAAAAAATAGCATTGCATGAATAACACTTCTAAGTGTTATGGCAGATGATCTGATGTGTAAATTTGAGAAGCACTCTACTACCCAAGCCATATGGGCTGCTTTAAACGAAAAATTTAGTGGTACCTCAACTACCAAGCTGAGAAGGCTTACAATTAAATTCGACACATATAAACTAAAGCCAAATACTCCTATGTGGCAACACTTTAAAGAGATTACATGATCCGTGAACTTAAAGAAGCCGAGCACAATTTTTCTGATGAACAGTAAGTACAGGTTATAATCTGATCGCTCCTACACAGCTGGGAGCATGCGAAAGTTAACCTACCCCATAATGAAAACATCGTTAACTTTAACGATGTGGTTAAACACCTGAAGCTAGAGGCTGAACATCTGGAGGCTTACAAGTCTTTTGGAAAGGCTTACCTTGTTGAGGAAGGTGGTCCTTTAAATTTTAAGCCTAAGAGAGGCAAGAAGCAACAAAAGAGGGGTAATAAGAATAGCCTTAAAGTAAGAAGGACAAACAACATTTCAAGAAAAAGGGCAAGAAGAGCGGCAAAAAGAGAATTAACCTTAAAAGGGTCAAATGTTTCGCCTGTCATAAGATGGGCCATTTTGCAAATGATTGTCCTAAGAAAAGTTGACATGATCAGGTGCTTGTAAATTATGTGAATTCACATTTTTCTTATGTTTCCAATAATGTTTTTCTAATGAAAACTATTTCTCTTCTTGAATTGTTGACTTAGGCTTCGCAAACCACGTAAGCAAGGATTGTGGATCCTTTGTAGAGTACCGTCGATTGCCAAATCAAAGCAAGTGGCTTGACGTTGGCAACAACGTGAGGATCGAGGTAAAAGGCATAGGAACTTACAAGTTGACCTTGCGAGGTGGAAAAACCTTAATTCTCCACAATGTTTTACATGCACTGGACATCCGGCAGAACTTAATTTCAATTGATTTCCTTTTAAATTTTGGGTTTGTAATTAATTTTTATGACAAGATTGTTGACATTGTATACAATTTAACTTTTTATGGTTGTGCTTTTCTTTCAAAAAGGTTCTTTATTATGAATATTGTTGACAAAATTCATTTTTCATGATTGCTTTACCACCTCTTCCAATAATGTAGATATGAATATCTGGCATGCTAGATTAGAGCATATTAATCAAAATAGAATGATTAAACTAGCTAAAGAAGGAATGTTAGGTCTAATTACAAACATGAAAATGTCTTTATGTGAAAATTGTTTAGCTGGTAAAACAACGAGAAAACCTTTTGGTAAAGGTGTTAGGGCTAAAAATCCATTACAATTAATCCATTCCTAATATATACAATTAATCCATTCTAATATATGTGGTCCTAGTATCAGAGCAAAACATGAAGCTTGATATTTTATTACCTTTATTAATGATTATTCACGTTTTGGTCATGTCTATTTGATATCACAAAAGTTTGAAGCTCTTGAGTGCTTTAGACGATACATTAATGAGGTTGAAAATCAAATGGACAATAAAATTAAAGCATTATGAACTGACTGAGGATGTGAATACTTGTTTGATCAATTTAAAGAACTCTATGAAGAAAAAGGAATAATTAGACAATTAACTATTCTTGGCACTCCGCAATAGAATAGAGTTGCTAAAAAAAAATAGGACTCTTCTAGACATGGTTAGGGCAATGATGGCACAAGCGAATCTTCCAATCTCGTATTGGTGGGACATTTTACTGACTGCAGCCTTCATACTTAATCATGTACCCTCAAAATCAGTTACTTTCACACCTTATGAGTTATGGACAAAATGCAAACCAGATTTAAATATCTTAAAAAACCATGGGGGTCAGCTGCATATGTCCATGATGATTCCCATAAATATAAAAAATTAGGTTCAAAAAGGAAAAAATGTATCTTTATAAGATACTCTGAGCAATCAAAGGGTTATGTTTTCACTGGTGAAAATGATGATGGAACTGCAACTGAATTTGAACATAGGAATATCACATTTTTAGAAAATAAGTTTCCTAATAGGGGAAAAATTGATCAAACTATGTATCTTTACGAGACACGAGAGCAGCATAATATAAAAAACATAGAAAGGCATGAATCATCGCAAAATGCTGATTTAAGTGAGAGCTCTAAAAGGTCTGCTAAAAGACCTAAAAAGAATCAAAATTTATAAGAGACCCTACTTTAAAAAAGTAATAGAGAAAGTGTTCCAAGAAGACGCTTCCAAATTGAGGGTGAAGCATTGGTGGTAACTCCAATAGATGATGATGAGTCACATTCCGTAAATGAAGCTTTACTAGGACCTGTTAAGGATCAGTGGAAGAAAGCAATGGATGAAGAAATGGATTTCATGAGGACCAACTAAGTGTGGAATTAATTGATTTACCACGTGGCTGAAAGGATATTAGAAATAAGTGGGTTCTCAAAATTAAAAGAAAAGTAGACGGATCAATTGATAAATACAAGGCTCACTCAATAGCAAAAGGATATACACAACAAGAGGGAATAGATTATGAGTATACATTTTCTCTTGTTATATGCTTCAATTCTATTAGACTAATTTTGGTAATAGTAAAAATAGTCTGGACTTAGAGTTGCACCAGATGAATGTAAAGACTGCTTTTCTAAATAGTGATCTGGATGAAGAAATTTATATGCAACAGCTATTAGGTTTTATTGAAAAGGAAAAGAAGATAAAGTATGTAAATTAAATAGATCAACCTATGGACTAAAACAATCATCCAGACAATGGTATTTGAGGTTTCACAGAGCAATAACCTCATATGACTTTCAAATGATTGAGGAAGACCACTGTGTTTACATCAAGAGGTTCAATAGGAACTTTGTAATATTATCTCTTTATGTAGATAATATTTTACTAGTCAAAAATAGTCTAGATTTGATAATCGCTATTAAAGAATGGCTTTTGTCGAATTTTGAAATGAAAAACATGGGTGAAGCAGAATAGATTCTTGGAGTTAAAATCCAAAAAAATCGCTCTAAGAAGCTTCTTTATCTATCATAAGAGAATTATATAAGAAAATTTTTTGAGCATTTTAATATGAAAGATTGTAAACCCATCAATAACCCGGTAGTTTTAGGTGTGAAGCTTAGTCTTGATATGGATCCTAAAACTGAGATAACCAAAAGGAAAGTGGAAAGAGTTCCATATGCTAGTGCATTCGGAAGTTTGACGTATGCAATGATGTGTACATGACCAGATATCTGTTATGTCATAGGACTTGTGAGTCGCTACCAATCCAACCCTAGAGAAGGACATTGAAAGGCAGTAAAAAGGTTCTTAAGATACTTAAAGGGTATTGTTAACTATGTATTGTATTATCAAGGGGGTGATCTACGCCTGACAGGATACTCTGACGTGAATTTAGGCAGAGATGAAGATGAATGAAGATCAACTTCAAACTACACTTTCTTGCTAAACAATAGAGCCATTTGTTGGAGCAGCAAGAAGCAAACATGCATTGCCTTTCACTCTATGAAAGTTGAGTTTGTAGCATTTACTGCAGCAGTGCAAGAGGCTATATGGCTTAAGAGATTTATAGAACATCTTGGGTTTGTAAATGAAAGTACAAAACCAATGTTAATTCATTGTAACAACATTGCAGCCATAGCCTATACCAAAGATCCTAAATATCATTGCAAAACCAACCACATAGACATTAGGCACAATTTTGTAAGAGATTATATAGCGCAAAAGGTTATCATTGTTCAATACATTTCCATGAAATGTATGATAGCAGATCCACTAACAAAACCCATAGCCAAGGAGATATTTGAAAAATATGTGTAAGGGCTCTTGATATGGCTAGATTGACTTGATGTAATATATTGGTTATATTAATGAGAATCTTCACTACTTTCATGTGTGTACAATTAAGAACATACAGTGTCTAGTATGTTATATAGGTTGATAAGGTTGACTTTCTCATACGAGCAACTACATTTGACATTGAAATCAAATATGAGGCATTAGTGTTCACCAGCAAGGCAACAAAAATGTTAATATGGTAGAGAAGAAACACAAATCATATGTCACCTCGATCAAAGAGTAAGTCGAGATGAGATCCACAAGCATACTTGGATCGAGTCATGGATCCCCATGTCCATGATACTTGTAGCCAAACAACAAATTCTTCTAAATTGATGTCATATGAGATCAATAGAAAAGAAGAATTTGGGTTTAGGTACAATGAATATCTGAACTTCAGTTTGTATGGTGTTAATAATAAATGAAAACGACGTACGCTCTTATAAGTAAGAGTAATACCATAACGTGTATTTCATACCACATGTGCTTAAAATTCGCAATAGAAAGCAAGTGAATAATCCTTTTAAGGTTGACAACTAAACATTTTATTATTACACAATAATTCTTCTATTAAAAATTAAAATTAAAGTTTATACTAGTATTGTAACGTACTCCCTCCGGTCCCATTTATAAGTCCAATTTTAAAAGGTGCATTTGGTCTCATTTATAAGTCACGGTGCGTCTTTTTAGATAATATTTGAGAGGTATTTCCAAAATTATCTCTCATGAGAGAGAAAAAGTAACAGGACATTACTTTTTAGATTTGTTATATAAGGACATGTTTGAAATTTTACTTACTTTTATTCCTTATATTTTTATTGTATTGATATTGATGAGGTTGGTAAAAATGACTTATAAATAGTACGGGATGGAGTAATCAATTTTGACAGAGCAAAGCTACCTTTTGGTGACTTGATCGAGAGGAGGGTGACAGAACAGAAGAGACCTGAACCTCAGCACTGTGTCCCTAACCTGTCATTTCAAACCAAGAACAGGGACAACCACGTAAATGTATCCCCACACTTGAGTATTCTTGTAATATTTTATAATAAATAAAATAATAAAATAATAAACAGAACTCACTGGTTAGTTTTTCGATATGTGTGCCTCCGCCCTCTTTCCCTCCCCTCATTCCCCTTCCCTCACTTTATTCTTCCCCTCTGTTTTTTTTTTTTTTTTTTGGCTCGTCCCTTCTCATTCCCGGAAATTTGTCTTTTGATTATCCTCATGAGCAGTGCTTCGCACTCTCTGCTCTGTTTCTTTACTTAATTCCCCTGATGCCTATCTTCCTTGGTCCGAGAGGGAGTCCTCCGAAGTGCCAACGAATCGCCCCTATTCCTTCCTTCTTCGTCAAGCTCGATTGCCAAGTGTTCTGTGTGTTTGCGTTTCGTCTCACTTTCTTCCCTTTTTTGGTCCTCCTTTTCCTATTTTCGCTGGAATCTCGTTGAAAAGGGAAAGCTCTTGGGTTCACCGTCCCGACTAAAGTAGCTTATTTATTTCTATGTTGTTTCTTCATTGAACTTCGCTAAGATTGTGAGGCTCGTACATAGCTGGCAAGCGTATTTCCTCTCATTTCTCGAGACATCATCTGGTATTGTGGGAAACAAGCTGCCGTAGGTGGTTTGTTGAAAGGCTGTGAAAAACAGTAGCCGACGTTTTAGCTAGTAAAACGAGAATTTTATGCTTGAAAGCTATTTGATAGATTCTTTCATTAAGCGATGGAGTTTCTGAACGAATTTCTGTAAAAATCATCAACCAATCAATAACGGAGGTCGGAGAAGTATATAATAAGGACTTTCTCTCTCTGTTTTACATCTGATTCTGCTACTCTCATTCGGCTTTAACTTTGCCAACTAGGAATCCTCTGGAGTTCCGATCAAAACAACCTTCATTCTTCTCTGTTTTCTATGTTCTTTAGTCTTCTCGCTCCATAGGGCAAGTAGCTCTACAATTTACCCCTCATCTTGATTCAGAGTTTGGTGTTTTGGGAAGATGGCGATGGCTGTGGCTCCCCTCAGAGAAAGCAGCAGCGGGATCATCAGCATGCACCTTGACTCCGGCAAGTATGTCCGTTACACGGCGGAGCAGGTCGAAGCGCTCGAACGCGTTTACGCTGACTGCCCGAAGCCCAGCTCCTTGCGAAGGCAGCAACTGATCCGAGAGTGCCCCATTCTTGCGAACATCGAACCCAAGCAGATCAAAGTTTGGTTCCAAAATCGCAGGTAAGGGAATGCTCCCTAGAAGACTTTGGATTGTTTTTTTCTGGATGTCAGCTTTCGAACCCGTTCTTTGAAGTTGGAGGAATAGCTGCAAACCACAAAGGCAGAGAGTCGCGAGCAAGCCTTTGAATTTCAATGACTGTAAATTACGCTGCAATTTCTTCTTGAAGAGCTTTGTTAAGATGGTTCAGTATTTGGCAACGCAGGTGTAGAGAGAAGCAGAGGAAGGAGTCTGGGCGGCTTCAGACTGTGAACAGAAAACTGACTGCGATGAACAAATTGTTGATGGAGGAAAATGAGCGGTTGCAAAAGCAGGTTTCCCAACTGGTATGCGAAAATGGGTTTATGAGGCAGCAACTGCATAGTGTAAGCGTTCGAAACTTCGAATAAACTGAGATGAAAAAGATTCTGGGCAGATTGATGTCATTATTAGTTATTTATTGGGTGTCCAATGGCAGATGAAGCTTTTATATTCGCTTTTGAGGGAATCGAATATGATTTGTTCGATGGAATTATTCTTCACGTTATTGTTTTCCTGCAGGCGTCAGCAGCAACTACTGATGCAAGTTGCGATTCGGTTGTCAACACACCTCAGCACTCCTTAAGAGATGCCAATAACCCTGCTGGGTAATTTCACAGTTTATAGTTACGGGCTTACCTCTTTTCTTCTTATGATGACAAGTCTGATTTTTTTTCCCCGGTTATCTTATCTTTGCAGACTCGTGTCAATTGCGGAGGAGACCTTGACAGAGTTCCTTTCAAAGGCTAGGGGAACTGCTGTTGATTGGGTGCAGATGCCTGGGATGAAGGTTTCTTATTTCTCTTTGCTCAAAAATTTGTAGTATATAATTATGTGAGGAGGAGTGTTTTAGTAGACAAGTTTCGCTCCCCCCTTATTATTTTCTCCTTGATATTATTATTGTAAGCCTGGTCCGGATTCGGTTGGGATCTTTGCCATTTCGCGAAGTTGCAGTGGAGTGGCAGCTCGATCATGCGGTCTTGTTAGTTTAGAACCTACAAAGGTAAGTTCGCTCGAGGAAAGTGGGAGGTAAAATTTGGTTCTCTCGATATGCTATAAAAGTCTGTAAAATTCTCTAATTTTAATTCACCACATCTCAAATTTATTGGCAGATTGCGGAGATCCTAAAAGATCGTCCATCTTGGTTTCGGGATTGCCGGAGTCTAGAAGTTTTTACAATGTTCCCTGCGGGGAATGGTGGAACAATTGAACTTGTGTACACACAGGTCAGCATTGAATTGTGAATTGAGAATTGAGAAATTCAAAAATATCTGCATCTGCCTCATTTATCCTCGATTTCAAAATTAAATTTGTTGCAGACATATGCTCCAACTACTTTGGCTCCTGCCCGGGATTTCTGGACTCTGAGATACACTACAAGTTTGGACAATGGAAGTCTTGTGGTTAGCATTTTCCCCCTGCTACCTATCAGTTATATAGGGATGTTTATAAACAATATTTAAAATTGTTGCTTCTCATTTTGCAATTCTTCTAGTTAGAGATAATTTACCTCATTTAGCCTTCTATGTTTCTTGAATCCACATCTGAAGGTTTGTGAGAGATCACTGTCTGGTTCGGGTGCTGGCGCTAATGCAGCTGCTGCTGCTCAGTTTGTTAGAGCTGAAATGCTCCCTAGTGGCTACCTGATTCGACCCTGTGAAGGTGGAGGATCAATCATCCATATTGTAGACCACTTAAATCTCGAGGTTGGACTTCTTCACGATTACATATTTCAGCTTCCTTTCAAAAAAAATGTATTTAAATGCATGACTATTTTCTTTTAGGCATGGAGTGTGCCAGAGGTGCTGAGACCACTTTATCAATCATCAAAAGTTGTTGCTCAGAAAATGACAATTGCAGTAAGTAGCCTTTTCTGGTCTATTGAAGCTGATAATTTTATCATTATTCAAATAGTTGTCTGCTCTTTGCTGTAGAGATACATTGCATGTTTTGTTATGTGATTTATAGATATTAAACTGTGCAAAGGATGGTGCATCCGTTAGAGATTGTTTCTTTGAAGTTTTTGATTTGGAAATACTCTCATTTTTTTTTCTGCTTGCAAGGTTCAGCAAGTGACCCATTTTTTGTCATGCTGAAGCCTCTTTGCCGTGGCTGTGCTTGCTTCAAATGAAATTTCTATGATTTATTATTTGTTGTGATAGGCACTTCGCTATGTCAGGCAAATAGCTCAGGAAACAAGCGGCGAAGTGGTTTATGGTTTAGGTAGGCAGCCTGCTGTTCTGCGAACTTTCAGCCAAAGGCTGAACAGGTATGCTATCAAATTTTTATTTGTTTCAAATTATGTTGACTATACCAAAATCTGCATTGAGAAGTAGTTGGATCTCAGCTTTATCTGAACTAATCCCTTATTCTTGCAGAGGCTTTAATGATGCTGTTAATGGATTTAATGATGATGGCTGGTCTATAATGAACCATGATGGTGCTGATGACGTGATTATTGCAGTCAACTCAGCCAAGAATCTGAGTGCCACCACTAATCCTGCAAGTTCCCTAACATTCCTTGGAGGAGTTCTCTGCGCAAGAGCTTCTATGTTGCTCCAGGTGAGTCTGAAAACACAATGGCATGGTTACTACTTTTTTCTGGCCAACGCATGTGGGGCTTATCTGTAGTAGTTCGTTTGTTTTCTCTTTGGACTCAGTTATTAATGACATGAAAGTTAGGAAGGCTGTGTTCTACGAAGGCATTGGTGGCTTATGCTTAACATAAAACTGGTCGATGATCTGTGGTTAAAATAATTTTCTAGATGTTTTAATGAATATTTTGTCAGGGTTTTTAAATGTCTGTTTGCTGTATAAAAGTAAAATTTTGATTAATGGTTACTTGTTACAATCTTTAATCGGTATTTGCAGAACGTCCCTCCAGCAGTTTTAGTTCGGTTTCTGAGGGAGCACCGTGCTGAGTGGGCTGATTTTAATGTTGATGCCTATTGTGCTGCATCACTTAAAGCAGGCTCCTTTGCCTATCCTGTCATGAGGTCAACTAGATTCACGGGAAGTCAAATTATCATGCCTCTTGGCCATACAATCGAGCATGAAGAGGTACTTGAGCATTCCCTTCCCAGCTACAAATGCTAGGAGTAGACATCTTGACCCATGTCAAGTTATTTTAGTGCAGTTTGGATCTGTCTCTCCTTGAGTTATTGGTCTTTCCAGGGCCAGCGGGAAATAGCTCTTACCATGCACTGCTGTTGCCAATTTTTTTCATGTTAAGGCGTATTTTCATTTGCAAAGAATGCTTCCTTCTAATTGTGTTTACACTCCAGATGATTGAAATTGTTCGTCTTGAAGGCCAATCTCTCTCTCAAGAAGATGCATTTGCTTCTAGGGACATTCATCTCTTACAGGTTCTGTATTTGATGCTTGTTTAAACATTGGAAAATTTCCTGTTCCTTACACGTGAGTGAATAAACGTAATGCCATTTTTATATGGGTAAAAGTGCATTTCTGCCCTCATGTTTTCTTTGAGGAGCATCTAGTAACTTAAAGTATTTTGCATAGCATTTTCGCCCCTTGAGTAATTAATTTGGGGCAACCGTTACCCTGATGTTATGTCATGACAAACATCTGTTAAACCAATTCCTGCGGGCCCCATTTTCATATCTTGTAATTTATTTACTTTTGAAGCAAAAAGAAAATGTCAACCACCATCAATGTCCTCGAGTTGAGCAACGTCAAGAAAGGAAAAGCAGTTGCAGCTGATGTAACTGTGAGACTGGGAGGAAGTAAGAAAGCCATGGCCATAATAGACTTCATTCTTAGGTTAGGTGTCCGCTGCTTTCTGCACTGCCACCAGCATGGGAATCGCCGATCAGACTCTCCCTTTCTTCATTCAATTCTTCTAGTTTTAAGCCAGCTGCGATAGTTTCCCAACTTTTGAGTATCTCATCGATCACTTTCTTTCTCAATTTTCCTCTGACAAGAATTAATTTCAAGGAATGATATATGAATCCTATCGTTTAATCTCATATAGGTTAGTGGATACTAGGTCGTGTCTCTACCTTTCTCTGTTTTATGTCTCAAAAAGAGTTAAACAGAGAGAGATATTCGCATGAACATGTGACGACTTTTGAGGGTAGATCCATGCGGTGGGGAAAATGGATGGCAAACACATAATCCTATTCATGGCACCTGTGTTTGTTCTTTTCTAAACAATAATAATGCCACTGTCTGCCACATCACTAACATGTAGTACACCTTCTTCACAGCCATGCACGTGGCGTGAATGCTTCTTTCTTCACGGCCATGCATATAGCCATCTTCTCATTGTCAGTTGTATTGTGACTACATTATCTCTGGCACAATTGACACCATGGTGTTCCAAAGCTGCTGCTTCACTGCCAACCCACTCTACCTCTCAGAAAATGGGGTTCTAGAACATTGGAAGGACTGCTGCTTCACTGTCGGCCCGCTTCACAACCCTAGTACCATGGTGTTCTAGAATAGTGAAAGGACTACCTCTCCCCCTCTCTCGGTCGTCAGAGAGTTATACAGGTTTGAAATCACTGTTGTTCTCTCTTCCACCTATCACAAAAATGGGGCCCACCAGATAATCTCTAATAGAAGTTTGTGTGTATTTAACATCAAGGTAATGGATGCTTCAAATTAATTACTTGAGGGGCGAAAATGCTACGTGAAATACTTTAGGATACTGGGTGCTACTCAGAAAAAATGAGTGGCAAAAATGCACCTCTATCTTTTTTATATTATGTTTCTATTTTCTTGTACGGTGCATCAATATCAGTGCCTTACTTTTTATTGACTGGCTGGGCCAAAGCTAGCATTCTATGGGTGCAAAGTTATGATGGAAGCCATTTTTGGAATTTTGCATATCATGACTAATTAGTATTATTGAGATCATTTGCATCAATGTGTCATGCTTTTGGGAGACTGGCAGATTGAGAATGTGTATGGAGCCCGCTTCTCTTTCATTCCTCTCCCTCCCTCCCTCAAAAGTACACTATGCATTTACTTTCCTAGTGCACAGGATCCAAATTCCTACTTAGTGTATGTTAAAGCGTTGTTTGGAATTCTGTTTTGTATCTTTACAGACTCATGTGTCTCGTACATTTTTGGTGTTCTTCTGCCTTTTAAGGATGATGCCTTTGACCTATAGATCACTTCATGGAGTGTAATAATTTATAGTGTGTGGTGTGATAACATTACCCAGGAACTGAGCAGTGTATTATTATTGCTGGTTCCATTTTTGCAGATATGTAGTGGGATTGATGAAAATGCTGTTGGGGCCTGTTCTGAGCTTATATTTGCTTCAATTGATGAAATGTTCCCTGATGATGCTCCATTGTTGCCCTCGGGTTTCCGGATCATCCCATTGGATTCAAAATCAGTTGAGTTCTGCTTATTTGTGTTACACTTAATCAAATCACGGAATATTCACAAGATAGTAGTGCTATTTTTCTCTTCATTTTGTTAAAGATATAATGGGTTGTGTATTTGGCACATGCAGTTTCTTGTACAGATTAAATTACATGTGCTTGGGGATATCATACTAGGGTGCTGAGTTAACACACTATTTTGTCATTTAGGGAGGGTTTGTTGTTAGCGGTATCAATGTCTGGATCCCTGTGACAATGTTGTGATGTTTCAGGGTGATAAGAAGGATTCAGTATCTGGAAATCAGACCCTGGAATTGACATCTGGTTTTGAAGTGGATCCAGCGACAAATCATGCTGTGGGAGATGCATCATCATGCCAAAGTACTCGGTCGGTGTTGACTATTGCCTTCCAGTTTCCTTTTGAGAGCAGCTTGCAGGAAAACATTGCAATCATGGCAAGACAGTATGTACGCGGTGTGATTTCATCTGTGCAGAGGGTTGCCATGGCTATCTCTCCATCTGGTATAAGCCCACCAGTGGGGCCAAAACTCAGTCCTGGCTCTCCTGAAGCAGTTACTCTAGCTCACTGGATATGCCAGAGTTATAGGCAAGTCTGCATATTCTCTGATAATTATATTTCTAGAAGTCTAAAAGTTAATGAATGCTTGCTATACTGTTTTTGGTAGCTTTAGATTTAGAGTCTTGTTATCATGATGTATTGCGTAATTCTTAATAAATTTTCGTGCTTTGGTATTACCTGTTTGAAGTCTACAACATCTATCTCCCCTCCTTGTCTCTATTCTCATCTCTTTCCCCTTTTAGCACAGTTTCTATCTGGGAGCAGAATTATTGAGATCGGATGCTCTTGGTGGTGATTCGTTGCTGAAACATTATGGCATCATCAGGATGCCATTTTTTGTTGTTCGGTGAGGGTAAGTTTTTTATTGTAGTACTGACTATCCTGTTTATGTTTGTGATGAAATTCTGTATTGGAATTATCTAGTGTATGGTTTGTGCACGTCAAAAACTAGTTGCTCAGAAGTCCGTGTCTTTATTTGGCATCGCAGTCCTTGCCTGTGTTCATCTTTGCAAATCAGGCAGGGCTTGACATGCTGGAGACAACTCTAGTAGCTTTGCAAGATATCACATTGGATAAAATATTTGACGACTCTGGACGCAGGGCATTGTGTACAGAATTTGCCAAGTTGATGCAGGAGGTGATTTCAGACCGAATACTTTCTCTCCAGTTCAATTGCTTGTTTGTATGGAGAGGTTCCATGATTATTTCTTCTTGTCATTTTGCCTTGTAGTCTGATTGTAATTTTATCTGCTAATGCTTGGAACAGGGGTTCGCTCATCTGCCTGCAGGAATGTGCTTGTCCATGATGGGACGGCATGTTTCATTTGAACAAGCCCTCGCATGGAATGTTCTTACTGAAGATAACAGTGTTCATTGCTTAGCTTTCTCTTTCATCAATTGGTCGTTTGTATGAATATTTTGAACACCCTTTTCTCCGTATAATATAAGAATGAAGGGTTAAAAACGTAGCGAAGAAGTTTGTGGAGGGAAAAGGGAATCCGGAAGTTTTGTTCATATGGTACACGGTCAGGTTCGCATTTGATTTGGTTTGATTTATTTTCAGTACAGACCAGACTTTGAATTGATGCGGGTTTAATTGTTTAGGGCTGCTAAGTTATAGCTTACTCCCTCGGGTCCTATTTATAAGACTTTTTAAAAGTAATTTTTGGTTCAAAATATAGAGCATTTTATAATGATTAAATTATTGTTTTTTAATTTTATCTCTTGGTTAGTGTGAAGGTATTTAATGTAGTTGTAATATTATTAAAGTGAAGATAAAAATAGAAGTATATCTTTTTTTATGATATAAAAAAGATCAATTTTTTTTTTAAAGATTTGTAAAATGGTTGAAAATATTTTATAACAAGAACTAGAGGGAGTAGTGAACAAGTTTGTGGAGAGGGAATCTGGAAGTTTTGTTCATGTGGTACACGGTCGGGTTTGCATTTGATTTGGTTTGATCTATTTTCTGTGCGGACCATACTATGAATTGATCCGGGTTAAATTGTTTAGCGCTGTTAGCAAGCTATTACATGTACTAGTGTATCTGATGCCTGGAGGCCATGTTTTTTCCTTAGCTGTCAGTGGGCTTGTTAAAGATCTATCACTTGACCCATTTTTCCTGACTAATATATGGCAAAATTATGAACTTAAAAGCATAATTTGTAAAATAGTTTATAATTGATTAAAAAGTACGGAAGTAGGTTTAGTAGCTTGTGCGATAACTGTAATTTTAGATTTATAATTGATTTTTACATGTATGGAAGTGTTTGTATAATTTTATGAGAGCCATGATTTTGGGTTTATAATTAATTTAACATGTATAATGAATGTTTAGATATTTTAAGAAAAATGTGATTTTAAATTTATAATTAGTTTTATGATGCAATATGGTTGTTTGGATATTTTACGTACTTGTTAATTTTGATTAAAATTAATCTTTTTAATTAATTTTATAAATTAATTTTATGTTATATAATATAATCAATTATAATTCAAAATTATGTTGATTAATTTTTGTCGTAATCAATTTTTTTAACGAATGAAAATGCAAATGATCCCTAAAGATTTACTCAAATTTTGGGAAAATGAACCTACCGTACCTTCCCGATGGCTTGTCAAGGAGGTATACTTCAAATGATAATGGTGCCAATAATGTTATTCAAATCTCACATAATTTAGTTTAATTATGATTTAATTGCCTATTATGTTGAAATATTATTTTTATATTTATTATTATTATTATTATTATCATTTTCCTCGTGATGAATAAAATTATTATAGTAGTTCTTTTGCACCGCAGTCCAATTCAGTGAATATATGCTTCGCTTCCCGAGGAAAGATTTGGATAGAACGTGGCATAACCTAGAAAGAAGGTGCAAACTTGATGACATTGCATAGGGATTTTTTGTGGTAGAAATGGGCGTAGAGCCTGGATTGAGATCTTATGGTTAGTTTACACTACGGTCCTCAAAAAAGGGAGGAACACGAGCCAAAAAAGCATAGACATTAAGAGCCTCTTTAGCAAGTTTGACTGCAACCTTGTTTTGATATCTGGAAATGTGCATGATCTTTACATTCCAGAGGAGCTTTAAAAACTTGGAGATTTCCAAGATAACAAGACTATAGGTGGAGTGCTCATTAGATGCACAAATAATTTTCTTTAAATCCGGATCCCAAGCAAGTTGAATTGCTTTCAGAATCGCTCATGCTTCAAATTCGATATTAGAGGATTGACCTAATTGACCAGAAAATCCAGCAATCCACTCACTAGAATGATCTCTAATGGCATCATCACATCCAGCATTTGAATCGCGTTAAGACATAGCACCATCAACATTGATTTTGATCCAGTCATGGGGGAGGAAGCCATTGCAAAGTGGTAGAAATTGCATGCACCAAGGAACTCTGATTAGGATCATAAATTCATAATTGAAGAGTAAAGGATTTCCATACCTTCAATAAGTAAGCTGCCAAATTAGCTAGTTTTTTGAAGGTAGAGTCAAATATGGAGTTGTTCCTCCATTTCCATAAGTGCCATAAAGAGCCCATGTTGATTTTAAGATTAAAAGTGACCTAGTCCTTCAAAGAGTAAGAAAAGAAAGCAAAAGGCTGACTGAGGTGGACAACTTGTACTTATATATTATAGGCATAACACAATCCCTCTGAATGTGCAAGATATCCACATTAGCAGCGTTACACCATTCACACAAGGGAGAGGCTCGAGACTAAGAGCTTCTCCACAAATTTGTGGAGAGTTTGTTGTGAAAAAACCATCTGGATAAAATAGCAAATCCTTTCAACTCAAATTAGGCGATAAAGGTTGGGGGGATTTTTTTTTTTCTTTCCAGCAGATAATAGGCACTCTTGAAAGAGAGAATACCATTTGAAGTAGCTCCCTAAGTCATGATATCCTCACCAATTTGTTATAAAGCAATGTTTTAAAAATCAGTTTAGATGTTGAGCCGAAAAAGTTAGCGGCTCATGGTTTTCATGGTTTAGTCGATGGTCAGATTGGTAATATAATAATTAAATAAAAAAACATTATATACATGTATAATAACATATTTATCAAATTGTTGAATTATATTTAAAAAATTAAGTAGTTGAAGTTCATGATTACACAGTTGAACTCATCATGTTTAATTTTTAAAATTAATTTAATATTTTGTTTTTTAAAAAATTATAAATCCAACAATTTTTAATATTTTTTAAGCGAAATGAGTAAATATACTCACCTAAAATATCTCCCAAAATCACATCAGAATGTTAATCTACCACTCACTTATTATGGTAATATATTTATATTTTATTTGAAATTTGAATCTTAGTAATCCTTTTCACCATTTCATGTGACTTTGACAATTTGACTAAAAATAAAATTATAATTTCACTCACGACTCACCTCCTTAATTGCAAGGCCAAAAAATGAAAACCCTCGTTCAATCATCCGTCTTCTTTAACTCTCTTCTATCATTGATCAAGTTAGCCTCCTCAGTAAGTTCTATCACCGCTCTAGTTAGCCTCCCTATCTCCCTTTTATTCTGCCAACAAGTTCTAGGCATCCTTCTCTTTATCATATTTATCACTAGGTTCATTTTTTGGTAAGTTCTCCATTCTTTGTTAAAAAAATTGTCTCCTTTCTCATTCCAACATTTCTCATGGATTTCCCCTTCTCCTTCGCTTCTCTTTCCTTTTCTTTTCTCCCCTAGCTAGTTTCCTTCAAACTGCCCCTATTCCCAATTTAAATTTGGTTTCTGCTCAAAAGCTGGTTCTAAACAAATCAACTCAATCTAACTCTTTCAGACGATTCAGGCCTCTGAAACAAGTTATTAACGTGAATGACTGACATCCAATTTGGTCCAGTTTTTAAATGCCATAGCTGAGAGTCATCGGGCTTTTCTTAAAGAAGATGCTCTTCACTTTTGAGTATGTACTTACGTTGGAGTATTTATGAAAATATATATATATATATATATGTATGTATGTATATTATGGATTTGCATTAATTAGATATTAGGCCTAGATAGATTGGTCTTTATGATCTTATGTGGATTGTGATAGGTGGACCATATAATTGAGCCCAATAGACAGAAGCCTAACCTACAATCCTATAGCAGTCAGTTATTTTCAATCTCTTAACTGACTGAGTCAGCGATAATGTGAAAATTTATTATTTAATTAATTATTAAGGCGGTTATTTGATGTGATCCATATAATGCAATCAATCCATAACTAATATACACGACTCTTTTCTATCCTCTCCATTATCTCTACACTTACGGGAAAATTATGAGGGTCCAATAGGTTGTGTGTCTGTCTATACATGAGGTATCACAATCGATCATGGATTTTTACGTATGCATATTGCTTTGCTTAAATCTTATTTGATTTATATGAATTGAGATACAATAGTTAACAAGTGGTATCATAGCCAGATTGCTTATTTTTAAATTTATATATCTCAATTTTTATTATGCGTATAATGATATATTGATAGAAATTCATGCTCATATATTAATAATTCTCCTCATGTCCTTATTATTGAAGATGAGTACGAATATGAGATTTGAATATGAGTTTTGGTTTAAATATTGTTATATTTGTGATGAAACCATTAACATGATCCTCAAGTCCTTTAGGCACATTATTATGTTTTTCCATGAATTTCTATTATTCTACCTTTTCTTTCTCTACATCTTCTTCATGGTTACTAGCTTCTCCATGGTCGCTAATAGAGATTGCGTCTCTATGTTCATTGTGCTTTTGTCAGAGTTGCTTATTAGAATGTATATCTTAAGCCCATCGTATTCAAGCCCAAGTGTTTTGGTTAAGTCTGTTAGCTTCTGTTACAATTGTGTTTAGTTGTTTAAAAGTATCTTTAGCTTATAAATACAACTGAGATGTATTCATAAAGTAGTACAATCAAAATCATACTTTAGATCATATTCTTATCTTTTTCTTTCTTCTAAACTTTATATGGTATCAGAGCCACCAGTTTAGTGACTCTATCATTTGTCTGAAGTAATCTTTGTTCAACTTTCATTCATCTACTCTGCTTTCTATGTGCACTATTAGGACTTATGTCATTGAAGTTGCTTGAAATGGTACTACTTGGAGGCTACGAAGAGGTTATATTGTTGCCAAAGATTCTTGTTCTTGGACAAAGCGACAATGTCTAATTCTTGATACTAGAAAGAACTTCACACCATCATTGGAACTTCAACTTGACGTTGTCTCTGGAGTCATCGGAGAAAGGGTCGGTGTCGTGGTCTGTGCTTTTGTTCTTAGTCTCTGGCATCATTTTCCCTTCCTCATAGCTTGTCGCAACGTCAGTCTTTTAAGGCTCTTGGTTCACAGTGTTTGAGGAAGAAAGGAATAAGTCAAAAACTAGGTCATAAGGTTTCGATTTCATGGGCCCTACAATTTAGGCCTTTATTTATATACTTAAAGAAAGGAAATAAGTAGTTTTTTTGTGGGTTAATGTTTCACTTAATAAAACTACTTTTGGGCCCAAATCTCATTGGCCTAGAACAGTGTAATAAAAAATATACAAATTGTGTCCTAGCCTTAGATTAAAATTA